GCACGTTCGACAGTCGAACTACGTCGCTGTTGAATGTGTCCCATTTGACCTGTTTCAATCTGGTACATGTAGTCGCTGCGGAACATATAGTAGGACGTGTGCCACTTAGTTTTAATATTTATTATTTACATCTTGCGCATACATAACTCCACTAATGTCCCTTATTAAACGCTAGTGTACCAGAACGTGTTTCACTGTCCCAATTTTGACATTGTAACCGTAATGTTTTTTCTTCGACAATCGTTTGGATCCATATTACTGCTACAAGAGAATAATAATTGGGCTGTACGCCAAGCAGATTCGCACGTACTCAAATCCGTTACAAATAGAAAACAGATTCAGAAACGCGCTACGCTTTTAACCGCGGGGTAAGCCGTACGTAGCACGCTTTGTAGTTGTCGCGGTCGCTGTCGCTGTGCGTGTATGTGTGTCGTCTCGCTAAAGAGGGCAATGAGAGCCACGATTATTTGCCCTTTTGAATGATTCTTTTTGCAACATTTACGTGGGTTCTTTTTACAGAAAACATTATGACAAGTTGTTGTATGACAACTTGTTTCATATAATTTATTACAATCACCCCACAGTATCATATTCAGATGTAGAAGTGAATAAGTTTTTTTTTTTTTATAGAAATTTCTATGTATATATAAAAATCAAGTGCTGTCCGTTAGTCTCGCTAAATCTCGCTCAAAACGGCTGCACCGATTGTGATGAATTTTTTGTGTGTGTTTAAGTGGGTCTCTGGATGGTTTAGATTCAGAACTAGACCGGGTAGGTGAGGCTGTTGTGCAGGTCTAGAAATCACCTTTGCGAAGCAGGGTCGGATCGCTAGTATTACATAAAAATTAGGTATTTTATTTTATCATAGTTTAAAAGTGAAATAAAGTTACCAAAGTATGATGATTAAGTTATGGGCCAGTACTGGAGTGAATACATTAGGCCCGAACTCGTGCGCCAAGTTAGGTAATGTAGGTTAATAGTTTTCTTCCTAGCTCCTTGCTTGTAATCTCTTTGTACTTATGGTCCGAGAGCTCATGACGCATTTTTCATGAAGTGTTTGATGCATCATGAAACTTTGTTTAAAGGTATCAGTCGACTCAATAAGCAGGTATATGACTGTCTGCCTGGCCTACCTGGGTACACCTGGTACTGCGCATACAGTTAAGTCGAAAAAAAATTTGCCCAAAAAAAAGTGTTTGATTCAAATAATAATAATGACTATCCGTTAGCTAAGTTTATAAACAATTAAGAAAAAAAATGGCAGACACTTCTGAAGGGGTTTACATAGGGGCAGACGACCACAAAGTTGTATTTTCAAAAATTCCAAAAAAAGTGTTTGATTCAGTCTGCCATTTTTACAGCGTGTTTATTATGTATAATAAAATATTCTCACAAAAAGGCAGACAGTTTCTCCGGGGGTTACTAATTTAAAAATCTATACAAATAAATAAAATTTAAATGTCTGTTTTTAATTTCAAAATAACAATTTTTTACTAAACGCATAAGACATTATATACGATATTTATAACAAAAACACAATTTTTAAAATTTTTGTCTGTCTGTTTGTTCCGACTAATCTCCGAAATGGCTGGACCGATTTTGACGGGACTTTCACTGGCAGATAGGTCTTTAAACAAAGTTTCATGATGCATCAAACACTTCATGAAAAATGCGTCATGAGCTCTCGGACCATTAATTTGATATACTTACTCACAATTTTGTTGTTATTCTTGACCTTTAGTCGTGCATTTACAGCGAGTCGTTATGACCATAATTTTTTTGTTCTTTGTAAACATGTTGGTGGAGGAACATCATGTATCACAATTATGGTAATTTCGTTATTACAACAGTAACTGATTTATAACTTCTTAAACAATCCATGGTTAATCGCCACCTTTAGCGTAATTAGAATCCAAGAGAAAAAAAAAAGATAGCCAACAAATAAACATATTTTTCGAAATGTTTTCTCAACTACAGAAAATATTTCATAAAAGAGCTACTTCCATAGAGCGCATCTAGATATCGATCGATGCCACTATATATAGATATAGAGACATTTTTTTCTTGTAAGCGTTCTCAGAACGTCGAACGGCGTGTTTGAAATTATCAGCTTCAATGGTTCGAGTCCAAAGGCAACGAGCCGTCGGTTTTGTATTCGGTACATTATTGTGTACTCGGCAGGTGAAGTACACATACATTTTGCTGTACTCGTGGCGCTATAAGACGCTGCTCTAAGCAGAATAACATTCCGCTGTGAACCTTAGTTTTTAACAAACATTTCGGTTTCAGTTCAGTTTGAATTAAACAAAGGTAGTTTTACTTTCATTAGACTCTTATGCTATTTTTATTTTTGATTGTATCATTTGAGAATTTAAATTAAATTTTGTGGGTTAAAAAAGTAAAATCTCCGAATTATTTTCGAGCTGGGTAAAAACTTCTATTGATATAAACGAACGTAATGTCACATACTAAGGATTAATGTTCACTATCAGATCGGCTGCTGTGTTTGTGTCTATTTCGGGTATGGTGACGAATGTGATTGCAGTCGGCGACACTCGAGTCCTCCCCATTTCTCAGTCCCCCGTTCCGGTCCGAATCGAGGCCGATTGACACATCCTCGCACCAGTTCTTTAATAATGTAATGGAGACAATACGATGTTACAAATTAGATATTTGACACTCTAGTCAATTAAAATACTTTTTTTACCTTATCAAAATAAACATTCGTATAAAAAGTGTAATGACGTCATAGTTTTTATAGTCAAATAATAGTCTTCCTTGTACACACGATAAAAATGTTATTTAACTTAAAATGAAATACATAACTAGAAGTAGCATATTCGAAAGACTTGATGTAGTTATTTATTTATTAATGGTAATGTCAACCACCCAATTCTAGCTACAAAAATTTTGTAGGTACTTGCAGTTTCTATATTATAAGGAGAATCTAATTTAATAATGCGCCTTTTTGAAAGCGCCGAAGTTTTCGCATCGATAGTCTACATACGCCGCCTCGAATATTTGCATTATACGAGGGCTGCACTCAAAGTATCGGGAATTGAATATTTCCACTGGTCCTGTGATATTAATTTTTTTTTAATTGAAAAGTCCTTCGTTTTAAAAATCGAATACCATTTATTTATTTAAAAAAACATTCTCGGTTTTGTCACAAGGTTTTGTCAAACTTGTTTAGTCGTTGAGAAAAAGGAATTGACTCGAGAAAATTCAAGAGCGGTGATTTATTATGACTTTCGAAGTGGTTTAACACAAAAACAGTGTGTTGACCGGATGATTTCTGCATTTGGTGATGAAGCCCCATCCAAAACCACAATTTATCGCTGGTTTGCTGAATTTCAACGTGGACGTGTTAAGCTCAGTGATGATCCCCGTCAAGGTCGTCCAAAAACTGCAGTCACCCAAGAAAACGTTGATGCTGTGCGTAAGCTGATTGAGGAAGGTCGACATGTGACATACCGCGAAATTCAGGCAACTTTAGACATTGGCATGAGTCAAATACAAATAATCTTGCATGAACAATTAGGTGTAAAAAAGTTGTTTTCCCGATGGATACCGCATTCGCTCTGTGAAGAGCAAAAAGCGGCTCGCGTTACTTGGTGCGTCAGAATTCTCGAAAGATTCCACACAGGATCCTCAAATGCTGTATACAACATCGTATCAGGTGACGAATTCTGGATTTATGCGTACGAACCCGAAAGAAAAAACCAGTCATGAGTTTGGATGTTCGAAAATGAGTTAAAGCCAACAAAAATTGTTCGTTCACGTAACGTTGCTAAAAAAAAATGGTGGCCACGTTTGTCTCCAAAACCGGCCATGTTACGACTATTCCTCTTGAGGGACAAAGAACGGTTAATGCAGAATGGTATGCTAGCATTTGTTTGCCACAGGTCGTTTCTGAACTCTGTAAAGAGAACTGCAACCGCTGCATCATCCTCCATCACGACAATGCGAGTTCTCACACCGCACACAGAACAAAAGAATTTTTAGAGCAAGAAAACATAGAATTATTATACCATCCGCCGTACAGCCCCGACCTAAGCCCTAATGATTTCTATACTTTCCCAAAAATAAAGAATAAATTGCGTGGACAGAGATTTTCATCACCTGAAGAAGCTGTGGACACCTACAAAACGGCCATTTTGGAAACCCCAACTTCCGAATGGAATGGTTGCTTCAATTATTGGTTCCATCGTATGGAAAAATGTGTCAAATTTCGCGGAGAATACTTCGAAAAGCAATAAATACATTTCTAAATAGTAATGTTGTGTCACTTCTTTGATTCCCGAAATTTTCACTGCCGCCCTCGTAGTAATGACTACGGCCTAGGCATTACGACATGATTATATGATTATCTATATATATTCGTTTACACTGTTAAAATTAAAGCAATCACATATTGAAAAATACGCAGAAGAAAAAGCTAAATATAATTTCATAATTCGGCAAAATAATTTTTCTCTGAAATCTATCAAAATACTAGTAAAATATATTCAAGTCGAGCAATGTTTTGTCAGTATTAAATGCATTTGCGTTACACAATATTCTCGAAATTAGGCCCTACTCCAAATATTGGTGCGAAAGGATGGAATATAGAAAAGGCTAGCTCACAAAACATCTAGAAATGAAATGCTATTCATTTTTAACTCGTATATGAAACCTGCAACAACTTTTCTGTTACGTAATGTAAATATCAAAAATGAATAAACAGCATAGATATCCTTACATGACACATTTTGTATGTGAATGTTTAGTGCAAAATAACATTAGACCATTGTTGTCTGCGTTTTCAACATGCGGCTATGATTCCACGGTGTATTAACGCTTATATTTACGTGCTAAACATGCCTAGAAATAAACAGGTATATTTTTTTCTATGTTCACGCACACACTTTATTCTCAGTTATACAAAAATCTTACACATTATATTATCTAATATAATAAGTAGTGCCTTTCTATCCTTTAAACTTGTTTTATTGTTACAGAAACATCGACCGTCGAGTCCGGTGGGTCAGTGAGTACCGCAAGTCCCGGAAAGCGAAGAGGTTTCAGTGGGTGAGTATTAATTTGTATTGTTTTCCTACAGTATTATTGTGTAATACAAGATTTTTACAACATTCACGGGATGATATGGAGTAGTGGACGGTGTTTCGCCGCCACTACATCACCATCTACAGGAGCGTGATGGACTTTACGTGCTTTCCGAGACACGGAAGTGTAATACCGCCAACTTCCTGACTCCAGGCTGCTACTGAGAATTTCTTCTCAAAAAAAACCCAATAATTGATTTTGACCCGACCCGGTGTTGGAATCCGGGACTTAGGTCCCGGATTCCAACTCATACAACACACAACACGATCATCAATCGCGTTTACGACCACTACTATACCAAAGAGGCAAGAGGCTTTACTGATTAAGACGATGATTACATTTTTACCTTTTTACTAGATTACAATTACCCTATGATAAGTACACTAATAGAGAATAATAGAACACAGCGATATTAATAAATTATTAAAAATTGGAATAGAGCTCGCTAATACGAGGAAAACATTAAATTTATCTTATTCTATCTTGAAAATTATTCGACGTCGTTTTTTGTTAGTCATCTGTTATCTTTGGCGTTATCTTACGCTTTGGCTGATAACGTGACAGTTGGTAATGGTGAGCGGCGGCATGCACCACGAGAAACGGCGAGAAAATGCGGCCCGATGCTGCTCCGACTGCTGTTGTTGGATCTTAAGGTCTCTCCTATCTGTGATTTTCGAATCGACATTATCGTGGCCACTGTTATTAAACGTATAATGTCCTCGAGGATATTATTGTAGAACGCAAATGTCATGTGGATCGTTTCTATTCGTTGGGTGATTATGCTAATTTTTTTAATGATTGAGACCTAAATGGTAATTTGTAAGAGTAATTTTTAATTTTATTGTTCCTCCACGTATTTTAGTAAAATTAATGCCGAGGCGAGATTCATAATCTAATATATAAAAATTAATATTTGTTTGTTCGTATTTTATGTCCTACCGTTCATAAGATTGCGGTAAAACTTTTTCAGCATATTGCTTGGACTTACGCGAAGGATATAGGCATAGTATAATTTACTTACACTAGATGGTGCGCGTATCGTACCAACAAATTTATTTGAAAGCACAGAACGCAATTACTCTAACAAGAGTTTGAAAGATATACGTCACTCAACCTCAATAAATGTATTATCATTTCTAATGAAACAATATAAATCTTCCAAATTTAAGATTATATTTCGAAAAATCCATATGGCTAGTGGAAAAATAAATATCACTGATTCCCAATCAGTTTTTGTGAATGTTATATTTTTGCTATTCGACTTCGATGTTCTTTAAATGTATTATGCTCTTATACGTATATCTATTCTGTTTAGAAATTGTTGTATCTTATAATTATTAATGATATTTTCCCTGATCGAGGTCCTTGTCAAAAAATAATGCGAATTTACTTGACCTTTAACAATGAAAACTTTTGCGACGTTATTTTATAAAAATGGATAAGCGATGCGTGTTTCTTAAACATTTTGACGTTACTCACTTATTCTGCATGTTGTGTTGTCATTGAAGTACTACAGTGTAAGTTGCTTATCAGTTACCTTACAATTTGACTTATCTAATCGCTTCCAATATTCTTTAACAACGTATAATTAAATACTTGTAAATGAAGCACAATACGATGTAATTACTTAAGTTGCGTTGAAAACTGTCTTTTAAGGTGGTCGTCGAAAATCATTAACTTGTCGTGAGTGCCAGTGTGTAAATATTTTGGTATAGGTCGGCAGAGTTTGACGTGGTGTTCCTGTCGCCTACCGTCCGATAGATTACAAAATTATCGTAGTAATCGCGACGATACCGCGAAGCGTCGCTGGGCTCCTTACGTGCCGTTGATAAGGCCATTTGTGATCATCTATTGCGAGTAGGTTGCCGTCGAATTGGACGTACACTAAAGTAATGTGCGTCTTGCGGTACAAAAGTGAACTATGTGGAATCAAGTTGTTTATGCAAAGTAAGTGTGTGCTAATTATTGTAATGGGTGTTAAGTCTGCACAGTGTAGTGGTGCGGTAACGTAGTTCGCATAACGACAGTGCATATGTTGATTACGTCGTATGCAATGTATATGTCCTTATTCGGCCTGACTAAACATCTTTGTCCTCTAGATTGAAGCTTCGTTTGTAGTGAATACGATACTGTAATGAATTTCAATTCACTAGTCTAATAGAACGTCTTGGCGCTGTGAATGGATATATTGGTTGAGTTGTTCAACTAAACCATTTCAGAGTAGTGATATTACAAAACATGTTAAGTGGAGGTCTATCTAGTGTGATTGATTTGTCTGTAATCTCATCAAATGAAATTTTTCAATTATCTTTAATATAAAAATTATATTTGGTAAAAAGTTCTTTTGAGTTTAAAGTTAACTATTTCCAATATGAAAAGAAATATCAAAAAAAGTTTTGCTTCTTATTTGCCTATGAATTATGAAATATAATTTAAAAAAACTATCTAAGTAAATGGAATATGCTTTATATGAAAACAGAAAACAAAAATTAAGGCTCGTAAATTGACTGTAAACATTAGCAGACTAGTTCTCACAAATAGAACCTGCTCACAAGTATGACGCATGTGGTAACATCAATGAGGAAGTAAAGTTTGCTTAAAGCACTACATATTTATTCGTATCGTCCGCTTTGATAACGTCGAGATTACAGCAATGAACTTAAATTACGTTTTCTTTTTTCGCCAAACCGTTTCATTGCGCTGTTACCGGCCGACCGCATTGCGGAGTCAAGTCCTTGGATTGCGGTACAACTATTAGATTTGAGATACAAATCCCTCGTACACAACTCGTTGAAGTGTTGTGTAATGTATGAGGCCCCCACACCTATCGTTGTTTATCAATCTTTCTGAATATTTTTATTCTTTCAAGGACATATTTCGGTATTTTGAAACTATAACAGTTTCAAAGTACTTATTACTTGGCGGTAGGGCTTGCTCTTAACCAAGGTATACTTCTGAGATGGTACCAACACTCTTACCTACTTCTTCCGCCAAGCAGTGTACACCTACTACTGTGTCCCGGCTTGAAGGAGAAGTTTAACGTCAGATGGACTAAAAGTTAGCTTGTTTGCCGCCCTAAGGTTAAAAAATGTGCTATATTTTCATTACTACATAATATATAAACTGTTATATGGGATTTTAAACTGAAATTGCAAATGCTAATATCAAATTTACAGCGGCAACGAAACTCGTGAAATAATGGAATAATATTGTAATTATTACTAATGAATGCCACCCCCCATGAATGTGACAAAACATGATCTCGAGCCATCTGTATTTACACACTTACAGTATGCCTTACTTAGGGCAGCTCTACACTTCGCTTACCGGCACGATGAGAATCTCTCATGTTGTCAATGTTTAGCTGTGGACTTGTGGAAGGGCTGTAATGAATATATAGAGATTTTACGAATGAATTATCATATTCCTCCGATGCATAGTACCCATTCCATTCTATTAATACTACCTAGTCCATTCTAATAACACGCATTATTTTTAAATATAAAACGTGACAAACGATTTTAGAATCCTTCTGCTGGTAAGTGGCTATTGAATTTGATGGACTTCTGCAGCCAACTTCAAACAAAAAAGGCTATAGGTGGGTTGTCACCTCTTGATGGAGATGGATTATCTCTCAGCCTGTAGTTATGCTAGCTTCTTTTAACCTTCAGACTGAAACACGGCAGTGCAAGTACTGCTATCTGGCGGTAGACTTAGATAAAGGAGGGACGTCACAGGGACGACACAGACCTATCTATACGGTGGTACCTACTTAGGCATGAATGGAGTAATCCCACATTATGTGATAACGTAGTTATTCTAGCAAAGAAAATATTTTTTCAAATATTTTCGTACGCTTATGATGTCATTAATAAATTGGTCGATAGTATTCGACAATTTAGCGTATTCACTAGCCAGGTAATTTACCATTGTTAAATGTATTTGCAGATTTACTTCGTAGTTATTTTCTGAAAATTCCTTGATATTCTAAACATCTGAGTAAATTATTATTTATTACTTATTCGTATCTATAAGTTAAGGTTAATCACCTCTTGTCACCAGTTGTCAGACACGTAATATTATAAATTAACACCAAATGTATAACAGTTTACTTACATTTAAATAAAACTAATTTTACGGATTTTTTCGCGTATATTAACTTATTTTACTTTCCCGACGTTTCAAGCACTTTACAGCACCCATGGTCACGGGGGGGACTGAGGTGTATGACGTCCCAATGTCATAGTTAACCACGGCTACCTCCAGATTAAAAATTATTAATTTTTGTTCCGATCTACGCAGTATGAACTTACAGTATCATGAAGTCTTGCAGTTGTATGCTTGGGTTGGGATTTAATTTTATTAATTATGGGATCCCAAGCAGATGGTAGCACCCAGCCATCTTCTCTATTGAAATTAGGATGTTTTTTGATTTCAATAGCCTCGCGAATCATCCTTGGAAGGAATCGGTGTTCTTTAGCGAGGATTTGTGGTCTATCAAATCTAATGTAGTGACGGGGGCGATCCTGTACGTGTTCACAGACTGCAGACTTCCCGGAGCGTCTATTCTTCACATCAGCTATGTGTTCTTTAACGCGGGTTTTTATGGATCTTTTAGTTTGTCCTATATAAGAGAGACCACATTCACAATCCAGCTTGTACACTCCTGCATCTTGCAGAGGAATATTACACTTGACTGATGGTAAAAACTGACTAATCTTCTTCGGCGGCTTGAAATATGTTTTAATGGAAGCACGCTTCAAGATGTAGCCAATCTTGTCAGTGACACCTCTGACATATGGCAGTACAGCAGGCACTCGCTCGACTGTGGCCGGCTTCACTCGTTCACTGTGACGTAGGCGCGGGACCCGAAGGTTATTGTCGTGCAAAACTTGCTTGACGTGTTGGAGCTCGGCGGCCAGGTGTTTACTGTCACAGATCCCTCGTGCTCTCTGAAACAAAGA